GAATAGGGATCCTAGACATCAATCTTGGCCATGATTCCCTACAAGTATCTGAGAAGAGTTGAGTAGGAATTGCAGAGCATTATCAGCATTTAATCCCCAGGTGTCTGCTCTGTGCTATCTGTGAATGTAGTGCTATCTTGTTGCTTAACATCAAAAGGATGGATCTATTTCACGTTTGTCACAGTGAAAGGAAGGAATGGACATCTATTGTTTCCTTACCCTTCAATCAATCCTTTTGGAAGAGAGTCTTCATCTACCTTACTATATTTTCCATCCTTTTCAAGCAACTCTGCCAAAAGGTGTGTTGCAGCATGGATGCTTAAGGCTCCTTGGGCATGTCCAGATGAGTACACATGCATTTCCTCAGAGGCAAATAGCACCAGGGAATGCCTGTGCATGAACACTTTGGCACGTGGAAGGTTGCCCTGGGTGGGGTAGGGGAGGCTGGAGCCAGCGCCTGGGCTGGCCCCAGCAGCCTTGCCTGAGATCCAAGGGTCCTCCCAGGGCTCCAGTGGCAGTGATCCAACAGCAGGGAGCCAGCCAGCCAGGCTCTGGTTTTGGGTGGTGCATGCTGCAGTGATGTGAGGGTTTTTTCTAGTGCAGGTTTTTTTGACACTGGGATCTCCCCCATGCGATCTCTCCCCTCCCCTATGCTACAAATTAGCAGCACAGAGAACACTTGCACATGTGGCATGTGTGGCGTGTGGCATCTGGCGTGTTGACAGGTCTGTGGTGCCATATACCATATGTGTGTACTCATCTGGACTTGCTTCCTGTGTCTGTCCTTGGAAATGCTCTTCCTCACAGTGTTACAAGCTTTGGAAATATAACAATGTGCCAAGAAAAGGATTTTAAAAAATAGCAGACTAACTGGTCTATGGAGGTTGGTTTATTTTCTCGGACCACTTATAGACAGCCTACTGCTGATTCTGTACCAGACGGATATACAACAGCTTGTTAAATTGGATAGTCCTAGAGGACCTGAGATGACAATTAATATTTAGCAGAATTTAAGATGACCAGAACTACTTAACTCAAGATCACTGTGCCAAAGGCAAGTCAACAGCAAGAGGGTGCCCATGAGCTTGGAAAAGAGGGTGGTAATTATCATATGGGAGCTGGCAAGCCCCAATAGTTTCTGCTCTGTCACTAACAGCTTCAATATGGGCAACTCCATACTAGATTGGCTTCCATACATGAGCTACAGCATCTAGAAGGTGTCCACAGGATACTTCCCCCACTTCAGAATGAATCCAAGAGATCTCCATAGGCTTTTGCAGAATCTACTGCTCAGTGGGTGCATCTATATATGTGCTTTGCTATGGAGTAAACTAATTTGCCGTGCAGTAAAGCATCATTGTCTATGTGTGACAGTAATAAACCCATCAACTCTGCCATAAGATAGCACTGTTGGGGCAGTACTATCTTATGGTGGGGTAAATGACTGCGATTAAATGCACATGTATACATTGACTGTAGCTGTAAATCGTGCATGGTCTGCCCAGCCAGCCAGGGCCAGACTCCTGCCTGCTGCTTAACCACATGGCTCTGTAAGGCAGTGTTTCATTTCATCACTTTCATTTCATTTTGAAGCACTGTTCCATTTCATTTAATCAAAAATGTTTTGGTGTTTCAACATGTTTCAACATTTTGCCCATAGGCTACAATGTGGAATCATGAAAATGCCTAAAACTTTGTCATTTCTTGCCTAATTCAGATGAAGCGCTGGGGAAGATCGATACTGCCACCGGCCCCAGGCAGCAGGGGCAGCCTCCTCTCATCTGGCACACAGATCTCGGGGCCCACACCCCTGGGAGGGCTACCGGGCTGTGCTGGACTCCTCCCAAGAGTGCAAGCTCCTGGATCTATGCACCAGATGAGATTATGTCAAGTTATTCAGCATCAGCATAGAAAGTTGGGAAGAAAGCATGTAGCAAAACCCACAGTTTTTCTTTTTTTTATTTATATTAAAATGCATTCCTTCCCCTTCCCCAACCATTCCTTTTTCTCTCCCTCTCTATTCCTTATAGATAAATATAAGTAACCTAAGATGTAGGATAAGATTTAACATTTTATTTTACACAGTAAGTTTTATTTTTCTCTCCCCTCTTTGCAAATAAGTTCCCTGCTATTTTGATATTGATACCAACTGTTTTATAAGTGATAATTATTATGTTTGTACTGCTTTTATATTGTGTGATTACTGTTTTAGGCCTATATATGTAAGTTAGCATAAGTCATGTCAAGTTTCCATTTTGTATGTCAAGCCTCCATCTTGTGTCCTCTGCCCAGGAATCCCCTGTGTTGCAACAGTATGATTCATGTACCCCTCCCATGTAAATTGGTTCCCGGATGAATGAGAGTGATTGGGAATGATTGAAATACAATGGTAGCAGGCCTCTACTGAATGGCCTGTAACGACCAGGCCATCACCTAGCATTGATTCATCCAGGAACCACTGACTTCACCCAGGAACAGAGACAAAAACCCAGCATTTGAAAGATAAAAGACCCTGCAGAACTAGCAACTCTACCATTGTACCCCACCATTATAGAAACCTGAATGCACATCCCTGCATGGAGCACACATGCTCAGTA